ACGAATTCAGATGATAATAAATAATTAAAATAATTAATAAAAATAAAAATAATGAAAACAAGAATAGATTAAATAATAATAAAAATAAAATAAAAATAGAAATTATCCCGGAATTAAGAGATTCGATCAAAAGATCTGCGTCAAAATCTAATTCCGGTAACAGATGTCAAAAAGTGATCGATGATGTTGTTGTTGTAATGACAGCGATTGATGTTGTTGTTCTTGTAATGATGACAGTTGTTGATGTTGTTGTTGATGTTGTAAGGATAGTTGCTGCCGCCGCCGCTGCTGCTGCTGCTCTGATGATACTTGTTGTAATGACAGTTATTGTTGTTGCAATTGCTGTTCAATTGACGATATTCGGACAAGGTGCTCATTTAATTGCACGCGGATTGCCACTTAATGCATTTGCCGAGGACGAGTAGCAGTGGTAGTGGTATCAGTAGCAGCAGTGATGGCGATAGTGGTGGTAGGAACAGTAGTGGTGGTAGGAGCAAATTGCTGCACGAAAAATAATTGATATTATTATTGTTGTTATTCATTTTGTAAAATTTTAATTAAAATTATGATTAAAATTAAAAATTTACTAGTTTTAAATATTAAATTCAAAGCACACGAAACTTTCCTTTAAAGAAAACTGTTTAAGGATTGAATTTTTATTAGCCTAAATGGAACAATAACAATCAAGAATAGATTTAAACTTTTCTTTACAGCTAGGAAATAATTATTTGCTAGACTTGAGTTATAATAATTAATTATGAATTACTTGTTTTTTTCTGTGACTGTATGCAAGATGAAAAAAAACTTGTAAAAACATCTTTTTGCGATATTCTAAGTTGCCATAACTGATAAAAATTAGCAAAGACTTTTCACCATCCATGTAATGAAATACTTTTCAAAACGCCCAAATATTTTAGAGTTTATTTGCACATTACACAAATCCATAAATTGACAGACAGATATGATAAATGACTCATTTTTAAATAATTACTTTTTATATTCATTACCAAATAAAATATATTATACAATTTAATTTTGCATTATTAATTACTTTATATTGTAATGTTTATTTTAATATTAATTAAACATTTTTCTTTGTTTATATTAATATATACTCAATAAGTTGAATGCAAGCAATCAATTGTTTAAAGTGCTTAACAACATAAATAAATGACAGACTTATATGTATTAGTGTAGTTTGATTAAATTTCAATTATTAGAGTATTTTAATTACGCGTAATAATGATTTTTCTGATAATAAATTAAACAAATATAATAATCAATGATTCTTATTAAATTATTACATTTGCTGAATTGACATAATAATTAATTTGTTTCTATTTACATTACCTCTACAACATCCATACAAACAAATTTAATTCTCTAATCTTACTCTTTTCTCCAATAAACATTCACGTTTCCTATTAAAAAAAAAAAAAGAGCAATATATAATATACATGTTGTCAAAATTAATTTGGCATTGAATCAATCTCAATTTTTAATTGCGTCTTGACTCAATTATTTATATTAATATGTTTTTCATACAATTAATTGCATCAAAACATCTCCTATGTATAATATATATAATGTTGCTAAAAAACCATCTGAAAAGTGTAATATATATAAAATTTTTCTTTCACCTGTGCGGGGAAACTCGCCCTCTTGCGGAGTGCTAATTTTTCGAAAGCTTCGCCCTCTTCAGAATTTCCGTGTATCAAGTACAAAGATGCTTTAAAAAAATGATTAATTATCATCATCACTTTTTTTAATAATTGGCCACATGCTTATATTATCTAATTATCTGATAAAGCATATAGATATGTACATGTCTTTATCTACTTTATTGTATTGTAAAATCAAATCACGAAGGATGCTTTGAATCCTGGATGTACGATCATTTCTATATTTGGTAATGTTTATAGACGATTTTTCTAAATTTAGAAATGATCGTAGCGCTCAAATTCCTCACGAGCAAAGTACATGTTTTAAAAAAGAATAGAACTCTACAACAAACAATTTTTTGGAGAAAATCTCTTCATTACCTTAAAAGTAGAAACCTATTTTACTAACTAATGAGGCTATTTTTTTAAAGGGCAGGATAGAAAGTGACTTCTATACTTTTAAAATTTGTGCAAAATTTAGGAGGTCTTTAGATCAACTATATAACGAACAAAAGCAGAAAAATTACATATAAGGACGGGGTGAGACTTGTAATTAAAAGAATCATGTGATTTATGGCACCCTTGGTGATAATTCAAAGACTTTATTATTATTAATTTTTTGTATAATCACAATTTTTCCGACACGTCACTTGAAAATCTGATATAAAATTTTAAAATTTTTGTATTTTTTTTTTTTTATATATAAAAATAATGCAAAAATATGTCTTCCTCTTCTAATGTCGCGCTCGATGCTACCATAAAAACTAACCAAACAACACCTTATGCTAATTCCATTAAAGAATATTTTAGCAATAAGGGGTATGTGTTTTATATTGGATTAGGACTTACCACTGTGGTTTTAACTGGAGTTGGTCTATATTTCCTTCAAGCACCTAAACCACCTAAACCAAAAAGCACACGTTCTACCTCTCGCAGAAAAGTACAAAAAACCAACAAGTCAAGTGGAAAAAACGAATCAACAGGTGGATTTCACAAATACATGTGACATTTTAAAAATTATTTTTTCTAAAAAGCAAATTAACCTATTATTTTAATTTTTAATTTTTTTTTTGCTTTAGAAACTACAAGAAACAGAAGAGCAATGGCTTATGAAGAACTTTCACAATTTGAAGAATCTTTATATGGTGATTAATTATATCTGATTTTTTATTTATTTAAATTTATTTATTTATTTATTTTAATATTTATTTGTTTAAAAGATTTTACTGCTGCATGTATAATTAATGATTACAAAAATGAAAAGGCTGTTAAAGCTATTGAACGGCTTTTAAAGAAATTAGCTACAATTAAAACTCAAGAAATAATGCAGGTTATTTTCTATACTTTTCAATTCTTTATATTGTATATACACACTTATATTTTTTTAATTTCAATAATTGTATACATATATATAATATGATCGTAGCGCTCAAATTCCTCACGAGCAAAGTACATGTTTTAAAAAAGAATAGAACTCTACAACAAACAATTTTTTGGAGAAAATCTCTTCATTACCTTAAAAGTAGAAACCTATTTTACTAACTAATGAGGCTATTTTTTTAAAGGGCAGGATAGAAAGTGACTTCTATACTTTTAAAATTTGTGCAAAATTTAGGAGGTCTTTAGATCAACTATATAACGAACAAAAGCAGAAAAATTACATATAAGGACGGGGTGAGACTTGTAATTAAAAGAATCATGTGATTTATGGCACCCTTGGTGATAATTCAAAGACTTTATTATTATTAATTTTTTGTATAATCACAATTTTTCCGACACGTCACTTGAAAATCTGATATAAAATTTTAAAATTTTTGTATTTTTTTTTTTTTATATATAAAAATAATGCAAAAATATGTCTTCCTCTTCTAATGTCGCGCTCGATGCTACCATAAAAACTAACCAAACAACACCTTATGCTAATTCCATTAAAGAATATTTTAGCAATAAGGGGTATGTGTTTTATATTGGATTAGGACTTACCACTGTGGTTTTAACTGGAGTTGGTCTATATTTCCTTCAAGCACCTAAACCACCTAAACCAAAAAGCACACGTTCTACCTCTCGCAGAAAAGTACAAAAAACCAACAAGTCAAGTGGAAAAAACGAATCAACAGGTGGATTTCACAAATACATGTGACATTTTAAAAATTATTTTTTCTAAAAAGCAAATTAACCTATTATTTTAATTTTTAATTTTTTTTTTGCTTTAGAAACTACAAGAAACAGAGAAGAGGATGCGGAGGCCGAAGAATATGAAAGATATACCATTGATCAAATAAATGCCTTACCAAAAGAGGTAAGTATAAGTTGAATGTTTTTTGTATATATCTATGTGCGTATGTACAATTATATTTTTTATAGATCAAATTTAAATATTGTTAATAGAAACTTTTATGGATTCTGAACTTGTAAATTTTCAGGTAATTTTTATAAAGGTTTAAAATAAATGTTCCTATTATTTTTTAATATCAAACTTTAATTATTATTATTATTATTAAGGATACCAGCTGCAACTTTTGATGATGGTTGCTACCATCTTTGCAACTACCTTTACGATCATTTTGTTTCCTCTTTTGGATTGCGACATGGAACACTAATTATTATTATAGATGATTACTGATTGGCAAAAAAGTTTATCAGCTTGTTCACAACAGTTGTAGATACTGGAATGAAGTATCCAAAGTTGCACAATTGGTGTTATCATATCATTGATATAGTGAAAGAATATGGTGCTATCAATAGTTTTACCGCTGAGACCTATGAGTCATTACATAGATTTTGTGTCAAGATCCCATATAGAATTAGTAATCACTGAGATGTAACTTTACAAATAGTTAATACTGTAATATAAATTATTTTTATAAATGATAATATATGTTTAAGAATTACTGATGAAAGTTAACACAACTCTATTGTAAATTCAGGTACAACATGACAGGATCCTTAGTTATAGCATCATTACCTTCTATTGGAAAACACAATCATCAAATTTCAACACTAAGTGGTATTGAAGGCAATTTTACATTATCCACTTTTGACAGCTTTATTAATATATACAAGACTTCACATCATTTGGCATCTGAAGCTGAAAAAGCATTTGATGTGCTGATTGATTCATTAAATGAGTATTTTGATTTTATTTTAAAGCAACTCTTATGAAATGGTACACTAATTAATGCATTTGTCAGAGGAACTGATATTGTGCGAGCTAAAAGTAAATATTACAATGCACCTGCATTTAGTGACATTGCAATAAATATGAATGAGGAAGAGGCAAAAGAGTATAACACAATTGATGGTATGTGCTTTGCTAAGGTAAATTAAAAATTATTATTTAAATTAATCTTTGAATTTTTATTTATTAATATACAGTCCCCAGCGAAAGTAATGGTGTGTAATTTTTTATGAATAAAAAATGTACTTTATTATAAATTTAAAAAAAAGATTTTTTGTTTCTTAAAGCCAAATAGTATGGCTATAACTTTTGTTATTGTTAGTACTTTGTATGAGCTCCTTCAGCATCTATGAATGCCTGACCCAATTTTGCATACTATTAACTATAACGTTTTTTCAATTCCTCCCTAATAATACCGATAAATTTATCTTTTTTTTTTCTGCTATCATTTTTTTGATGTGTTTTTCAACATTAAGCTTGAAAATAGCCTATATATTCTCAATAGGATTAAGATCTGGGCTATATGAAGGCCAGGAGAGAACATGTCTTGGAAGGCAGGTATTCAGATCATTCGTAATGTCCCTAGATGTATACTTAGGGTTGTTATCTTGCTGAAAGACCCATATGCCACCTACTAATGCATCAGCATCATCATAAAGTTGTTTGTTTAAAATTTTACAATATATGTGGCTTTTCAGTAAAGATATGAATACTGCCCTTCCCTTTAAATTGATAGCACCCCAAACATGAACCTTAAGGGGATGTTTTACCATAGGCTGGACAGGTTTCTTTTCACAAGACCATGCTAGTATCGTATTGTGAAACAACTGGATAGTTATTTTGTCTGAAAAAATAACTTTCTTCCAGTTGTAATGCACATGATCTTGTGCCCATGACAAGTGGTTAATCTTTGCTTGTTCTATTAGAAGAGGAACTTTTCTGGGAAGAGTAGCAAAATAACCGAGGTTGAAAAGCTCATGGTGAACAGTTCTCTCACTAACTTTGAGATCTTGGTATTTTTCTTCTAAAATAGCTTTCATTTTGGTGGCAGTTACTCTTGATGATCATTATCATTCTGAGTTGACACCGTTTTTCCGATGATAATTTTCGCAGACGACCTGAATGGCAAATTTCCAGAATTTTTCCTTTTTTTTTTTAATATGGTGACGTACCGTTGACATGTACATAATGGGATCCCTGTTCTATTTGAAATTTCTTTCAGAGTACAAATATTTTGCTTTCAGAGAAAGATAACGGCATTATGGTTGGCTTTAATAGGGTTCGAAGACATTTTCAAGGTAAAATAAACAAAAAACACTGATGACAACGATCATTGTTTTTTTTGTTTACTATATATCTATTTACGCGACTCAATGACAAATAAACATTATAAATGGATGTTTTATGGTATTACGCCTGAATAAATAATTCGAATATTTGCGCCATTACTTTTGTCAGGGACTGTACTGTACATACTTAAATTATATTTTCAATGAAAAAGCTTTTAATGTTATTTAGTTTAAAAATTCCTAGTCATGAAGAATAAAAGTTGGCATTAGTTCATTGGTATGACTTTAAATATAGCAATCTATGTCAATTATTCAAACATGATTGCCCACATATGAAAACTATTCCCATGTTTACAATTATAGCAGTTGATTCTATTATTGAGCCAATTCATGTTATTCCATGTTTTGGAAAACCAAATGAATACATTATAAATTTATTTTTTTTTTAGAGAAATAATTTGTAAATTTATGATAATTAAATAATTGCTAAATTCTAATATAAATACAGTATTTTAAATAATAAAATTGTATAAAAAAAATTTTTTTTACAACACCACCATGCATTATTTAATGGCAGTTTCTATCAATGCATTGAACAACATTTTTTTAATTTTCCTGATGTAGTAAAGAAAAATAAATTAATTTCTAAAACATTATTAGTATTAATATAATCAAAAATATAATAATAATGAGACTAGCTGATCATTGAAAATAATTAAAGTGACATGAAAAAATATAATAATTTTGTTATCCCAAGAACATTTGCTTATTAATTAAAAAATAATCTTCATATCAAACATAATATACTGAATAGAGTACTATTAGATAATAAGCATAACTAGTGTTTATATTCATTCAAAATTGTTCGGACAATGACTGAATATCATGAATATCATACTATAAAAAAATTCAATAATTGATTGAATGTAGAAACCAAAGTTGTGAATCAGGAATTGTATTATGCTAATTTATAAAATTATAAATTTACATTTAAAAATTTAATTATCATTTAATATATATAAGTTTTATTGACTTTTTCACCAGATGGGAGAATCACTTTATGAGTAATTATTTTAGAACTCTTGGAATTGGACACAGAAATTTGATTATTGTTGTCATTAATTGTAATTAGCTGGTCATTCTGAACATTATCATTAACATTATCATAATTACTATTATCATTATTGTCAAGGGTGTTTTTATGATTAATATCTACTACAGCTTCAGTATTACTATCACTGTTGGTGTATTTGCAGCTATAATCATTGTTTTGAAATGATTTCAATATTACTAGTATTAAGTTCATTTCTATTTTCATTTTGATTTTCATTATGAGCTTGTTGATTTAATTCTCTGTCTTTTCCATCATCAATAACAACATTATTAACCATTTCATTTAGTTTCTTTTTTCTTCTATATATACAAAATAAGAATAAAAATAAGAGCAATGAAGAAGATTGTACCAGATGTAAATGATCCAATAATTATGCCTAGCATATTAGTAGTTTGTTCATCAGAAGCAACAATGGTGGTGGTTTTATCTGTTGAAAGATCAGCACTGGTGGTAGTTGTTGTATCTGTTGAAGGATTAGCACTGGTAGTGGTTGGTTCATTAACAGTGTTAGCAATGATTTTAGGATCAAATGTGTCCAGCCATTTATAATTATATTTGTCACTAATATCTAATAGTAAAATATTTTCATAGGGTTTATTACTAGGAACAAGCCTACCTATTATTATTATTGTTAAATGTAAATAAATTAATATTAATAATATATTTATGTATGAATTTTAAATTGTTATTATTATAAATTACCAAATGAGATTATCATGTAACTTTTATATAAATTTGAAGTATGCCAATTATGACTCTCATTAGTCAGATTAGCAGGGTAATTAGTAATGTTTGTTGGAACTGTCCATTGGAAAGGAGATTTGTTACATCCAATATTGCTATTTTGTCTGGTTCTAAGGTACCATCATACACAATTATCCTTCCATCAGATGCTAAAATAAATAAATATAAATTAAAAAAATATATTTAATTGAATAATTAATCATAAAATTAATCAATTTACTTAATACTGAAGAAGGTCCATTTCATATAGGCATCAGGAAAATGTGTTTTTTTTTATACACATATTATATGTGTATTATACATGTATTATTTTACATTACAGGTGATCTGCATATAATATACATATAATACACATGTCCATAAAGTACACACGAATTATACATATTATATGCAGATCACCTGTAATGTAAAATAATACATGTATAATATACATATAATATATGTATCAAAAAACACGTTTTCCTGATGTAGAAAGTACATCACCAACTGTTGCCTAATATAACAAATATTTATTAATATCTTTTAGTTGAAAATATTGTTATTGATGGTTATATAACTTATAATAGTAGACCATGAATTTTGATTAATATTATACAAGTATATCTAAACATAATATGTATTATTAGAATATATAATATTCTCATTCCTTTTATTTTAATTAAATAATAAAAGAATAAATTATATTATTACTTGAGTTGCAGCATAAAAATCAAGGTAAATTATAGTCTCATCATTCAATGCATGACAATTGAAGTAATCTATGTGTGATATAGATGGACCACTATTACTTGGTGTTAAGGTTGTAAATATCAAACTTTTGGCATTGAATTTATATATATTTGAATCATTTGATGTGGCTATATATGTGTTTCCATTATTATCTTGTGTATATTTTGTTTGACCAACTTTATTTAATTGTAATTGTCCATTTAGGGTTTCTGCAGTCCATGTATCAAATGTATTTGTATTTATTGAATAAACTATAGATCCATAATTTGTAAAACCAGATACTGATGTACCTCTATATCCAGCTATAACATAAAATGTGTCATTATTAGCTCTTCCTAATGCTAATGATGCACCATAAAATGAAGGTATTGCTGGTTTTGGATCTATTCGTTTTATTGGTAATGTTTGATTAAGTGAAAATAATGTGGATAAATCTAGGCAAATTATTTGGTTTATAAATGAACCACCAGAATATCCTCCAAAATAATAGAGTTTATCATTTAACACTATTGAACTTTGAGATTCTATTTGATCAGAAACAAAACATTGAAACAATTTAATAAAAATAAGTTGAAAATTATTATTGATAAATTTAATGACTTTAAATAGTTGTGATGATAATTATTCATTTTTTTTTATAGCATCTTTGCAGCAACCTTTGTCAATTTGGGTAATGATATTATTTCTTCTGGTATATCAAAATCCATAATCAAAAAAACTATTGGTTGCAAGCTTGCTGGCCAATTAGCCAAATACACTTCAAC